TCACACTAAGCCCTTGTGGCATCTGTCGACTCGCAAGCCCCCCGTGAGAATACCACGACAGTTGGCGCCCACCGTGGGGCGGTACTACTACTACGCTACCACGCTGCTGCTGGTTTCGCAGTCCGGGCGGGACCATCTTCATCATCTGGTTCAGGAAGTGTCCAATTATTTTTATTAGTCAACATATTATTCAATAACAATTCAGCTTGATCAACAGTTCTTTCCCTGAAAACACAACCAGCACAACTATCCAGGTAATCTCTGAAAGCATCGATTAGTCCATTATAAAAGATATCAAGTATTTCATTTTTCTTGAGAGGATGATCAGGCAAAGCATTAAGCAATCGGAGAAGCCTCCCCCAAGCTTGTGGGAGACTCTCTTCTCCAGTTTGCACAAAATTATATATTTCCCTTAAGGCAGCTTGTTTCTTATGAGCGGTGAAATATTTAGTAGAGAAGTAATAAGTCATATCCTAGCGGCTACACACACAACCAAGATCAAGAGAATTAAACTATATCTTAGCATCACCCTTTAATGAGAATGGAAACAACTTAAGGATAAAGTAATAGCGAGTTTTCTCATCATGAGTAAACAGGGTGGCTATATCATTTAATTTAGTAAGATGTGCCACAACAGTTTCAGATTCATAGCCATAAAAAGAATCAAATTCAACCAAAGCAATTAACTCAGAATCGACAGAGAAATCATAATCCTTATCAGTAATAAAGATAGGTGAAGTGGCAAAAGCAGGGTCATATTTCATTCTAGCATTCAAAGACTTTTCTTTAAGCTTAGCTAATAATTTCTTAAGATCAGATTTATCATTGCAAGCTAAGAAGTCTCTAGCAGTTTCTTCATCCATAACATAACCATCAGGCACAATAGGTAATTCATATTTAGGGGGGGAATCTTCATCATCACTTTCATCAATATTATCAGTTTCAATAATTTCATTCTCTCTAGCCCTAGCAAGTTGTTCATCAAGAAATTCACCTAGTGGCACAGTATTATCAAGCATAGAAGTAGTTTCATCATAAGTATCATGCAAAGCAGAAGTGGCATCATCAATAACATGCGACCTATCGGAATCAATAGCATGTGTAGGTGTCGCAAGTTTACTCAAAACAGAAGGTGAATCAAGTGTAGAGCTAGATGGAAGTTCCTTACCTCCCCTCGTAGTTGAGGGAAAAATCTTGATTCTTTGATCTTTCAAGTTCTTCATAATGATAAGCAGATATAAATCCCAAGTGACTCAAAGAATAGAGCTATGCTCCCCGGCAACGACGCCAGAAAATAGTCTTGATAACCCACAAGTATAGGGGATCGCAACAGTTTTCGAGGGTAGAGTATTCAACCCAAATTTATTGATTCGACACAAGGGGAGCCAAAGAATATTCTCAAGTATTAGCAGCTGAGTTGTCAATTCAACCACACCTGGAAACTTAATATCTACAGGAAGGTATTTTAGTAGCAAAGTAATATGATAATGATGGTAACGGTAGCAACGAAAAAGTAAAAAAGCGAAGAACAATATATGAAAAGCTCGTAGGCATTGGATCAGTGATGGAGAATTATGTCGGATGCGATCGATCATGCAACAGTTATAACATAGGGTGACACAGAACTACTTCCAGTTCATCAATGTAATGTGGACATGTATTCCGAATATAGTCATACGTGCTTATGGAAAAGAACTTGCATGACATCTTTTGTCCTACCCTCCCGTGGTAGCGGGGTCCTATTGGAAACTAAGGGATATTAAGGCCTCCTTTTAATAGAGTACCGGACCAAAGCATTAACACATAGTGAATACATGAACTCCTCAAACTATACGGTCATCACCGGTAATGGTCTCGATTATTGTCACTTCGGGGTTAACGGATCATAACACATAATAGGTGACTATAGACTTGCAAGATAGGATCAAGAACTCACATATATTCATGAAAACATAATAGGTTCAGATCTGAAATCATGGCACTCGGGCCCTAGTGACAGGCATTAAGCATAGCAAAGTCATAGCAACATCAATCTCATAACATAGTGGGTACTAGGGATCAAACCATAACAAAACTAACTCGATTACATGATAAATCTCATCCAACCCATCACTATCCAGCAAGCCTACGATGGAATTACTCACGCACGACGGTGAGCATCATGAAATTGGTGATGGAGGAAGCTTGTTGATGATGATGGCGACGGGTTCCCCTCTTCGGAGCCCCAAACGGACTCCAGATCAGCCCTCCCGAGAGAGTTTAGGGCTTGGCGGCGGCTCCGTATCGTAAAACGCGATGAATCCTTCTCTTTGATTTTTTTCTTCCCGAACACGAATATATGGAGTTGGAGTTGAGGTCGGTGGAGCGTCAGGGGGCCCACGAGGTAGGGGGCGTGCCCAGGGGGTAGGCGCGCCCCCCACCCTCGTGGACATGATGTGGGCCCCCTGACGTGGATTCTTCTTTCAGTATTTTTTATATATTCCAAAAATAATCTTCGTTGATTTTTAGGTCATTCTAAGAACCTTTATTTCTGCACAAAAATAACACCATGGCAATTCTGCTGAAAACAACGTCAGTCCGGGTTAGTTCCAGTCAAATCATGCAAGTTAGAGTTCAAAATAAGGGCAAAAGTGTTTGGAAAAGTAGATACGTTGGAGACGTATCAGCTTTCAATTTTTAGCTAAAATTTAATATATATTTTTATAGAGGCAAAATATTTGTCTCATCTCATTTAATAAGAAGAGAAGAACAAAATCTGCATGTTACATGACCACAGAGGTCAAATAAAGAACGAGGGATCACTCTCCCGGTAAAATGCTACCTCGTAACCTTGCCCTTGCAAGTACCCATAATCTCGCCTCCGTCTTGATCGACTCAACAACGCGTGTGGACAGGGAGGCCTTGTTGCGAAACACTCTCGCATTCCTCTCATTCTAAAGTGCCCAAAAGGTTGCCCCTTTCGTGTCGACGCCGAAAAGGCTGCCCCTTTCGTTCCACCATGTTGCTATGGATGGAAGTGTGATCCAGCCGCTAACTTGTGATTGCATCCCTAGCCATGCAAATATTGCCTCCCAAATCATGACAGAGTAGCGACATTTGAAGATAAGATGTGCCGCCGTTTGCGGTTCTCTTTTGCACAGCTGACAAAGACCACAGTTTGGCCAACCACTCTGAGATATTCTATCCGCCGTCCACACTTGATCCTGCACAATGAGCCATGAGAAGAATCTGATTTTTGGTGGGGCCCATATTTTCTAGACCATCCTTGGCATATCAGACTTTATTAATCCAGCGAACTGCATTCTGTAAGCCGTGGCGGCAGAGTAGCATCCATCCGCAGTGAATTTCCATCGAATGGTATCCTTAGTTCCGACCACTAACTACACCTCCAAAACCTTGACCCATAAGTTGAAAAATTGTTGAATGAGGTCAACGGTGAGACCCTCATGCATATCGATATGACGTACTCAGTCATTGGCCGCTAAGGCTTAGTCATTGGCCGCTAAGGCTTTGGAGACACTTGTTTTAGTTCGTCTGGAGATGGCGAAGATGCCCGGTGCAATGACTTTCACATTTTTCCCTTGTAACCAAGGAGCAAACCAGAAACTCGTCAATCCTCCGTCACCCATAGTGATTGTCGTCGCCGCATAAAAAAGATCCTTGTCTTTGTCATCGGTCCACTGAAACCACAACCAACGCGGCCCGAGAGCCCTGGCAAATTTGTCTAGATCGAGGATACCCAAATCACCCAGATCGTTTGGTCTGCAAACCAATTTCCAGCTGACCTTGCATTGACCTCCTGTTACCTTATCCGTGCCCGCCACAAGGAAGCTCTATGTACCTTAGTGACATCTTCTTTGGTTCCGGTTGGAATGTCCAGAGTGGTTAGATAGTAAATGGCTTGAGAGGATAACACCGACTTGACTAGAGTGGAACGACCAGCTATGTTGATATTTCTACCTTGCTAGGGTGGAAGCTTCCCAGCCACTTTGGCCACCAGGAATTGACAATCTGACTTCTTTAACCTGTGGGTGGGTAGAGGTAAACCCAAATAACACAGAGGGAAGCCCGCGCGTGTGGTCGGGAAACTTTGCAGAATGCCATCAAGGTCAATGTCCGTGTACCGAATTGGAGCCACGACACTCTTTTGAGGATTAGACATGAGACCCGTGACATCTTCGAAGTTGGTCAAGATCGCAACAAGATTGTCGATGTCCTCTTTGATAGGAGCGACAAAGATGGCCGTGTCATCCGAGTAGAGAGAGGTTCGAACGGAGGTGGCCTGTCCACGGAGCTGATGCAGAAGGCCTTGACCTGTAGCTTTGTCTAGCAACTGCTCCAAGGGGTAAATAGCCATGATGAAAAGCAGGAGTGAGGGAGGATCTCCCTACCTTAGCCCCTGCCCAAGCTTGATGGGCACACCTGGAATGCCATTCATTAAGACTCACGAAGAGGACGAAGCCAAAGGGCGGCAATCCAATTTCTGAACTTGGCCCGAAAACCCCGTCGTTGCAGCAGATATAATTTAATGATAGATATATATTTTGTTCGTGTATCCAGATTGGGCCAGTATCCTGGTGTTTGGAAGTCAGACTAGGTGTGATCTTGCTGTTTGTAGAAATTATCCTGCCGTTATATATTTGCCCATGATATGTACTTTCACTGTCTCATAATACAAGACTGTACAGTGTCAAAAAAAGTCTTGTATTATGAGACGGAAGGAGTATATATTTTCTCTGTTATGCGTCTGCCCATAGTATTTCTACACGCTGACCATAGATGTGCGGAATGGAAGCGGTAAGGCCAAAATCGTCTATTAAAATTAGGCTTGCAGTACTGATCTAGTTTTAGTGCTTAGTCATTCCAGATGATTACTTTTTGGTACATATCACTAACGGTTTGAAGCCAGATCGTTTCTTGAAAGAAAGATAATAAATTCAATCTAGACAACAAAAATAGAATACAAATTTTATGATTTGAAGATAAAAAAGAGAATATAAATGAAAATAAATAAAAAAGCCTTTTTGTTACGATCGGACGGTGCAGGATGCACCACGCGGCGGAAATCCGGCCATTCACGGCCTCCCCGCCAGGAGAGAAGGGGGGCCAAGGCCGCAGGTTTATCCGTTACCACCGCGGCTCTCCATTCCGCCAATAAACCTCTCCGGCCAGCCATGGAAGCCTTCGCCGCCGCCCCCGCGGCCGGCGTCTTCGCGGCCGCGCGGCCCTCCGTCGCGCTCCGGCGCCGCGGAAGCGGCAGAGGGGCCTCCTCCTCCTCGCGCGCCGGCGCCGGACGGGTGCGCCTCGTGCGCGCGCCGCCGCCGCGCGCTGGCGGGGGCGGCGACGGAGGGGACCTGCCGGCTCTGGACAAGTGGGACATGATGGAGCTCGAGTTCGGGCGGTTCCTCGGGGAGGACCCCAAGCTCACCCTCGCCAAGGTCGCTCCTCTGCTCCCTTAATTAGTATTATCGCGATTCGTCTCGTCCCTAGGCTCTGGATAAGGTTTCGAAATGCTGTCTCACCTGAACATCAGAAATTCAGAATGCAAATCCATCTATACTCCTACTTTTCTGTGAGACATTGGGGTGTTTTGTAGCGGTATGATGGCAGTGAGCATTTCTGTTGAAAGGCTTGCGCGTAGTTTAGTGTTCAAACTTATCTGCATTTTCCATCATTTTCAGCTGAAATGTCTTGATTGTGAGAAATCACTGTGGCGTCCAGTAAAATATATTGTCACATGTGCTGTTATCCGTGTTTGATTTTGGACGACCTGACTGTACTAGATTTAGTTTAAGTTGGGGCTCACAGTTTACTACTCCCTCCGTCCGGAAATACTTGTCGCTCAAACGGATGTATCTACATATGTCTACATACATCCGTTTGAGCGACAAGTATTTCCAGAAAGATGTAGTAGTTTATATCAACCATGCTAAACTAGTTGGCTGAAATATTTCGTTTCTAATAGACACTTATAATATACTTTTATACTGGTTGGGATGTTTTCTAGCAACACAGACTGTTCTCTGTTGTTATCTGTTGGAGACTCGTTTTATAAGAAGTTCACCATGTGAGTAGGTATTACTGTTATTTTACAAGTACGGGAATAAGCTTGGTGTAACGCTGTTTTTTTGCAAGTATGGAAGTAGAAGGATTTCAAGTACAAGTCCTGATACATTGCTTAGCCTTTAGGATCTGTTAACAACGACGAACCCATCCGTCACACAATATGACAAGTCGGCAACGCAGACTATTCCCTGTTGTTATTCGTCAGAGACTCATAAGCAGTTCTTTATATGAGTAGGTGTATTACTGTTATTTTACAAGTATAGAAGTACGCTTGGTGTATTACTGTTTTTTTGCAAGTATGGAAGTAGAAGGATTTCAAGTACTAGATTTAGTTTAGTACTGTTTGTCGTCTTGTCCATAGGCACTGGATAAGATTCTGAAATGCTGCCTCACCTGAACTTTGGAAATTCAGAATGCAAATCCACATATGTTTCACCGTGAGATACTGGGATATTTTGTAGCAGTATGATCGCCGTGAGCATTTCATTTGAAATATTTGTGCGTAATTATTTAAACTTAGCTGCATTTGCCATTACTTTAGTTTCTGTCTTCATAGTGACAAACCACTGCAACTTCCAGTAAAATATACTGTTCCGTATGCTATTATCTGTGTTTGATTTTGGATGGCCCGCCTGTACTAGATTTAGTTTAAGTTGGGACTCACAGTTTACTAGTTTATATCAATCATGCCAAACCAGTTGGCTGAAATATCTTGTTTCTAAAGACATTTATAGTTTTATACAGGTTAGGAAGTTGTTAGCAACACAGACTGTTCCCTGTTGTTAGTCGTCAGAGACTCAGAGTTATAATAAGATTTTCACCATGCTAATAGGTGTATTACTGTTATTTTACAAGTATGGGGATACGCTTGGTGTAGTGCTGTTTTTTTTGTAAGTATTGAAGTAGAAGGATTTCAAGTACAAGTTCCGATACATTGCTTAGCCTTTAGGATCTGTTAACAACGGACCTGTCTGTTACACAATATGACAAGTTGGCAATACACATTGCTTTCGTGTTCTGAAACATGTGGTTTCTGTAGCTTTTGTTATTCTCAGAAATCAGCAATTCTGATCTCTTACATGTTCTGGATTTACTCCCTCAGATACTGCTCAAGAAGTCAGACCCAGATGCTTCATCCCTTGATGTAGAGAAACTAGTTGCCAGCAAAAAGGACACGCTGGATGTTATTTTGAAGGAGTTCATGGAAGCTAATAAGCAGGACAAGAATGCCACCGCAGGAGAGGCAGTAGACACACCAATGAAAGACAAACAGCCTTTGGGTGTTTCAAGGCCTGCACTGAGCAAACCAAAGCTGGATGAGGCTTCTTTGGCTATGATACGGCCAGTAGGAAGCAAACCGAAGCAAGTTGAACCTCCATTGACTTTTGTGAGACCAGCAGCGATCAAACCAAAGGTAAATAAGCCTTCTTTGACCTTGATGCGGCCAATGGGGAGCAAACCAAAAGTACAAGCAAAGCTGGTGCAAGCTAGTTGGCCTAGCAAGGAGAGTTTAGCTGCAGGAACAGAGACAAGTGAGGTTGGATGTACCGCAACAGAGGATATCGTGGACGTGACCTTGCGTAAACCCGTTGTGCATCAGAGTGAAGATGATGAACAGGAGCCAGAGCTGAAGATGAAACCAAATGCCGACTTGAAAATGAGGAAGGATATGGATGAGGATTTATCCAACATTTCTCTTCTTCAAAAGCCAGAGGCCACAAAAGAGACTGCTAATGCACTTGGCTCGGCCTTAGTTGCTGCTGGAGAGGATACCAATGAACGTGAGGAAGGTAAGGAAGGCATAAGAGACCTGTAATTAGTTTTCTATCATCCATGGCGCTAATGTTATGTTAGTATTCTCAAGGACTGCAACCATCTGAGGAAAGTTTAAGTCAACAAATAGACTTGCCTGCTCTGGATAAACCATCAGCGACCGACAACAATTTTTCTATGCAAGCTTTCTTGCAAGGAAGACCGAGGTACATTCTGATGGAACACTACAGTTATATTTTTATGAACATTTTCATCACTTGGTATCCAATGGTTTGGTGAAGCTCGAGTTGCACTATTTATCCCCTTTGTCTCTGCTCTTGTGTTTGCGAACTAATATTGTCTTTGTGGTTTCCTCCATGTTGATTCACCTGCCGAGCTAATGTGGCAATTATTACGTTGTAGGAAAGACCTGCCTGTTGAAACTTCACCATCTCAAGTGGATGCTGAGAAGAAAATTGATGGTGATAATAAAAAAAGTTATGTTGACGATGGGGGCAATGTCTTATCATCAACATTAGAGGTAATGCCGTAATGTAAATCTCCGGATATTTGAGCTTCATCATCTGATTGTTGTGCACAAATAACAATGGAACTTACTGGAGCGAATGCAACTTTTGTGGGAGGAGATAGTCCCCCCTACTAGCCTTTTAGTTCTTGCGAGTTGCGAATATGAATACTGAGCTACCGAATCACTAATACAGGACATTACTGAGAGTGACTGGACAAGGCTAGATCATTATGCAAGTACTGGAGAAAGGGTTGAGGTGGAACTTATTAACTGCAGTGCGAAGGGATTTGTGGTATGTACTTGGTCCTTTTGAAATCGCTTATTCTTATCATATTATATTGTCTGAGCTTTGTCTTGAAATCCTCACCAGGTGTCACTCGACTCAATGATAGGTTTCTTACCGTATCGTAATCTAGCTACAAAATGGAAATTCTTAGCTTTTGAGACTTGGTTAAGAAGGAAGGGTGGTGATCCTTCCTTGTACAAGCAGAGTATGAGCATGGAGGAAGGTTCCGAGGTTAATGATAGGAGCATAGAACCAGAATCAGTTTCAGAAGTAGCTCATCAGGACCAAGGAACTCTGCAGTCTAGGCTGAAGTTTGAAGAGCTTCTTCGAACATATGACGAAGAGAAATCCAAGTTCTTATCATCATTTATCGGTCAAGTATGACTCTGGTCCTCGTGTCCCAATATCCAAGTACTCATTTGTATTCTTTTGTAACATTTCCATCGTTTTGCAGAGGCTCCGAGTGTCAGTTGTTCTGGCTGATAGAAATTCCAAGCGACTATTTTTCTCCATGAGGCCAAAAGAAAGTGACGAGTTGATTCAGAAAAGGAAAAGCCTGATGGTACTTCTGGAATCTTTAAAATTCTTGATTTTATGATGAAATCACAGAAACCTATTAAATATTTCAAGTCGAATTGTCTCATTGATTTAGCGAAGTTTTGCTCAAGAACATTTATTGAGCTTCCTGTACGTGCATCGTAGTTCTTACTAGCTGCACCCTTCGCATTAATATAATCAGAAAAAATTAGTCTTGGTGACACTGTCATTCCTTGAGCTGAAATAGATCCTTGCCAGCATTTAGTATCCTATTGGAGTGAAGGCATTGCCTGTGTATCTGATCCTGTTGGCACACAACCATAAATATAATTTCTTATTATGCAGGCTAAGCTTAATGTTGGAGATATAGTCACATGCACTATCAAGCGATTTGTTTACTTTGGGATATTTGTTGAGGTAGGTCTCATTCCTTTTGTTGTCTGTCTTTTTCCTTCAAGTTCAGCAGCTAACTGTTTCTTTCAAAGGTTGAAGGAGTTCCTGCACTGATTCAGCAGTGGGAAGTGTCCTGGGATGAGACCTTAGATCCATCAGTTTCTTACAGAATTGGTCAGGTAATCCTCTAGCAATTGTGATTAGTTCTGTTATTTAGCCTTTTGCTCTTCTAAGTTTTCTATTGAAGCTGCTAATCTCTGGATAATGACGTTATGTTTTCCTTGGAAATAACCATGTATTTTCCTCATTTCTTACATGGGTCACTCTATACTTAACAACGCAGTTCAGTGGCGCTAAAATGCTCATAGTTCTATTTAATTTTGGCTGCTAACGTTATTTTCGCTTGCAGGTTGTTGATGCTAAAGTTATTCAACTGGATTTCAACAATAGCCGTATCTTTTTGTCACTTAAAGATGTAAAGGTACTGGGATGTTCGGCGGTTCCCACCTTGTTCTCGTGTTTTCTCAGTGTTTAGTCACTAGTTTCAGATAGTATTTTTTTTCTCAGTTGTTGTTCTTGTCTTTTCCCCTGCTATGCAGCCAAGTCCGCCAGTAGGGGCATTGGAAGCAGTCATTGGCGATGATGCGTCAATTGATGGATCTCTCGAACCCGCACAAGCAGATTTTGAGGTATGTACGAGCTTATGTTTGAATGTTTCATTGAGCATGATCCGAGAGTACTGGAAATTGAAATATAGGCCATTGTAGTGGCCTGAGGTGGATTCCCTCATCGAGGAGCTGAAAAACATAGAGCAAGTTAAAGATGTTTACAAAGGAAGGTTCTTCCGGAGCCCAGGATTAGCTCCAACGTTTCAGGTAGATGAAATTTTTAAATGTTTAGCGGTCACACAATTATGCAGCCTGGTTCCTGGAACTAAAGCCATCTAATCCGTATTGCTCATCAGGTATATATGGCATCTCTGGTTGGTCAGAAATATAAGGTCCTAGCACGGTATGGAAACAATGTGCAAGAGGTATGAACTTCCACGTTGAGCTTTTCCAGATCAGTGTGTATTCTGAAATTTTCAGCTGCTCATGTAGTATAGTGTTGTTCTACTCCTGTGCAGGTGATGGTGGAGACGTCGTTAGATAAAGAAGGGCTTAAAGTGGCAATTTTGATGTGCACAAACAGGGTGAGCTGATCATCACGGTCTTCGTGCAAGGACTGCACACGGCTAATGTTGATGAGACCGTTCTTTAGACCTGAAAGCCTATTATACCCGAGTCAATCTGGCCAGAGAGGAAGAGACTCCTGCTGGGACAAAGAACCTGCGAGCAGGATGAGATTGTTTCGTCGACCACTTTATAATCCTAGGTTGGTTTTCCCCTACCAAACTCTCATGAAACTTCCGTCATCCAAATGGCGCCTTACACGAGTGAATCTGGATACAGAGATTCTGGCCAGAGAATTGTTGTGCAGATGCAGCCCAATGTCACAAACTGTACGCAGCGGTCTGAATTCAATCAATCACATTTTTGTTACTAGTTATTGTCCGTAGCTGTGCAAAATTGTGCAATACCTGGTGAGCGTAGTTACTGTGCTGAAAGCCTAGAGATTTTGTTCCATGCAAAGCAACAACAAGAAATTAGCACTCGCAAAAAAAAAAGGTAATGATCCAGAAAAATAAAAGCGCCCTGCCAAGCTGAACTTATTGAGGCCATCAGTCAGCCTCGTCACTATGCCATCGGCTGTCCATTCCCCGCATCTTCATCCCGGATTATGTAAAGGTTCTTGTGCCTCTTCTCCCTCCATCCCTCCTTGACTCGAAGATGAATTTTTTCCCATCCGGGCTGCTCGATGGGAACGCGTTGTTGAACCAATTCCCGGTGAGTTGTCGCAACCTTCGATCTAACAGTGGGCCAGAGACGTCGCGGATGGAGTAGATGTTCACTGGCATGTCGGTGCTCAAGGAGGGGCCGACGCAGATGTAGAGGGTGTCCTTGCTGGGGTCCTTGCATCTAATTCCCCTGGGGTGACCTGGACGGTCTCCTCAGTGTTGAGGTCGTATTGGAACACGCCCCAACTAGTTCCAACTATGCCCAGAGGGAAGGGCTTTGTCGGTGCCTCGATGGAAGAAGATGATGCTGTCGCTACCCCATGATGGCCAGCCAGCGTTCTTGATGAATAGCTTGCGCCCCAGGCCCTTGCCCACTTCGCCATCCACATTCATCACGTAGATGTCAGTTTTGAGGTTCTCAACCTCGCCGTTCCAACTCTTGCTATGAAATGATGCCACCGCTACCATCTTCCCGGACGGTGATGTGGCTCGGCTCAAATCATACACTCCTACACATATCAATCACAAAGGGCTCTCTAGGCAACAAGCCACCAACATGTCTCCTAGAAACATGGGTGCTTCCTAGACAAAAAGCCACCAAACATGTAACCCCCGATTCGTGGGATCTTGTTCCCTCGTGCCGAGACAAGATATTTTCCGCGAAACATTTTTTCTGAAAAATTCCGAAAGGTCCCAGAACATTTCCGACACCCTCTAAAATTCTTCTGGGCATGATCCGAAACATTTCCGGTGTGGTGATTTTTATCAGCGGAAAGCAACAACGACGGTTATGGCAGCTCCGGAACATTTTCGGTTTTTCTCTCCGAAAATTCCCAAAAGTTCTCAGACCAATTCTGGGGCCCTCTAAGAATTTCCAGGCGAGTGCCGAAACCATTTTGACCTAATAATATATTCCGAAACAACTTTTCGGCTTTACCGAAACTCTTTCGGCGTTCTCTCTTCGGAACTCTTCCGTTGTCTCCGAAACTTTTCCGGTGACTTTCTCGCAGACTCCCTGTCTAGTATTCAGCAGATAGATGACCCTTAAGCGTGTGACCCTATAGGTTCGGTGAAGTATAGACATGACCTGGAACCCCTTCCGATCAATGATCAACATCGGAGCCGTGGATACCCATATTGACCCCTATACCCACACGGATGAATATTCGAGTGAACCTCCAGTTGCCGTGTGCTATTCCTGTTGCTTCGTGATATGTTACAAATACCCGAGGTGAGACTTACTTGCATCCCCATGGATCAATGACTTGTCCACTATGCTAGTTACCTCGTTACCGGTTTTGTTCTCTTTTCTCGTTTTCGTGTTGCGGCATCCCTGTGATCAAATCACACTGTGTCTGGCCAGACGATGATGGATACCGTAACACCGAGAGGGCCAGAGAATATCTCTCCATCGTCGGAGAAGCAAATCCCAATCTTGAGCTATCAAGTTACTTGACACACTTTTCCATGAACTCGTAAGCCGCTGTAATAGCCACCCATTTACGGATGACGTTTAACAAACCCCAAAGTTCATGAAGCAAGTATGAAGAAACTCGATACTCTCATGGTCTAAGGAATTATGCAAACGTTAACCATCTCTGTGTTATGTACCATTAACTTGTGACGAACGAATCTCATAGCATAACATCAATCCGGGTCGATTCAACACAAATGTTCTCTTAACATTGTGCCCTCAAAGTTGCTAGTATAGACATGCCCATGACCTGGAAAACAGAATCATCATGCAACACTTGAGCTAGTCTTAGAGGCCAGACTAGGAATGCTTCTTACTGTTTATTATTCCACACGTGCATATGAGTCTTCCTCCGAGCCTCGTGTTATTGCAGACTCGAGAACCATAGCAATTATAGCATGGAACATAAACATAATTATGAACATGGAGATAAGTAATAGCATTTATTATTGCCTCTAGGACATATCTCCTATGGTAGCACATTTAGAAATATGTTTATGAAGTTTTTAAACAATCATCAAAATGTAAAAACTTATTCACACATTTTGTAAAAAATATTCATACCATTAAAATTTTGTTCATGAAATTTAAAAAATATTCACACGTTCAAAAATATGTTCATGGCATTTTACAAAGTAATTTTTTTGCAATGAAACTTTTGATCTAGAAAACTCTCATAGCATATAAAAAATTTGTGTGCCATTAAAAAGTGTTCATAAAACTTTAAAAATGTCTGCATGTTTAAAAAAGATGTTCATGCCATTTTTGAAAATTATTTAGTTTGAGCTTAAAAAATTGCATCGTGTATTTAGAAAATGTTCACCATGTATTTAAAAAATATCCAATGTACATGACAAATGCTCCACATGTGTTCAGATAAAATGTTTAACATCTATACAATATTCAACTTGAATCCAAAAAACTCAAAATTTATTTAGAAAATGGAAAAAATGGGAAAAGGAAACAAATGAAAAAAATGAACTAAAAGGAGAACAAAAGAAAACTGGTAAAAACAGTAGAGAAAACACAAGAAAAGTCCATGCGGAACCTCTCAACAGGGCATAAGGTGTTGGTTTTTCATTGAGACGGGGACGCTCGGACGCTCATAGGGTGCTTTGTCTTAGGACTTGGCTGAGCAAGCACTACTACAATTGTTGTTTTTAGGGGTGGTGACATCATGTATGATGATCGACAATGACAATGATGATGCATATTTTGTGGTAGTTAGATACTGCTTGAAAATTGTTGCTAGCCTGTATATTTTGATGTGGTGGTACATACTAATCCCTCATGGTGATGGTGAACTTGTGATAGTAGGATTACACCCTTTTTTTGGATATGGTGGTAGGATGACACCATAGTAGTTAGGACGAGAAGTTGTGTTGCATTTTCGTTATCTGATGATGCATGTCTATGTTGTTTTTCTTCCACATGTTGTGTTCGTTTGCTTGCTGCTTGACTTGTTGCTCTCATGTCAATCTAGAGGTGAATTGGTATGTTGTGTATAAAGGTAGGATTCCAGGAGTACACAGTTCATGGCCAACATGCAATGAGCAAGTCAAAGTTTACCGAGGCAGCTCCTTTCAAAGAGGGTTTAAGACAAGGCAGCGGGCAGAGGATGACTACCACAAATTCATGCTCGAATAGAACAACAACGATGAAGTTCGCAAGGTTGCTGCTTAGTTTAGGCTGTGTAGGTTGAAGAAGTTCATCATCGTGGTCCAGTACATCGTGATTCTAGTGTTGTTTTACTCTTGTGATTGTTGTGATCATATGAAATGAAAGGATCACTTGTTAGGGGTGCTAGATGGTAAGATCATCACATAAGGTATAAGGGCATCTCCAGCCGCACCCCAGGAAGGCCTCCCCAGGCGTTTTTTTTTTGCGCCGGCGCAGAAAAAACGGCCCAGTCGCGCCCCCAAGAGCCCGATTTTCGCCGGCCTGGGCCGAAAACAGTGCCGGCGGACCCAGGCCGAACCCGGCGCGCTGGGGGGCGCCCGGGGGTGCCGGGGCGAACTGTTCTGGCGCGAAAAAGCCGCGGGCCAGCCGCGTCAGGGACACGGCGGCTCGTCTTCCCCCCAACTGCCTCGGTTCCCACGGGGAATCAATGGCAAGGCTGCCGCCGGTCAGCCTTGCCATTGATTCCTCACGGGCGGCGCGTCACGGGATGGCGCGCCGATGCCTCCCCTCCCTCGCACGCGTACACACGGGTGCGGAGCGGCTATAAAAGCCGGCGGTTCTCGCCGGTGCCAACACCAGACTCGCCCCTCGCCGCCACCCAGCCCCTCTCTCCGTCCCCGTCTTCCTCTCCCGAGCGCCACCGGCAGCCCCTCTCTCTCCCTCTCTACCACCGCCGAGCCGTCGCCATGGCAGAGCGCTTCCTCGGAGACGAGGCGGCGGCGAACGGCTTCGGCCGCCGTTCGCTCCGCGAACAGGAGTCCTGTCTCCCGGCGCCGCCGAACATGCACGCCGGGCCGACGAGGTGGCGGCTCAGCGACGGGGGAGTGCCCGTTCCCCCGTTACCCAACGCCGTGGCGAAGCCCAGGTACTTCGCCGAGGAGGTCGAGGTCGCGCACGCCTCCCTGACCGACAACGAGCGCTCCCTCCCCCAGTACGCCGCCGACAATCATGCGGCTTGGGCGGCGTACTTCCAGCGCCGCCAGCAGCAGCGCCTGGCCTCCACCAACGGCGCGTCGATTGTCGGCGGCGTGAAGAACAGCGAGGGGCGCCACCTGTGGTGGGGCGTCCCCGGCCGCACGCTGGATAGCGTGCTGGCGCACCTCGACGGCTGCAACAACCCCGTCGCAACACCGACGCGCATGGGCGCCAAGGAGGTTCGCTTCCTCCTCGTCTTCCTCCTCTCGCTCATCTTCCCACTCCTCCGGTTCTC